ACTGTGGGTGTTGTTGTTGATGGGTTGTTACTGTGGATGGTGGTGTTGTTGATGGTGGGTTGTTACTGTGGGTGTTGTTGATGGTGGGTTGTTACTGTGGGTGTTGTTGCTATTGATGGGTTGTTACTGTGGGTGTTGATGATGATGGGTTGTTATTGTGGGTGTTGTTGTTGATGGGTTGTTACTGTGGGTGTTGTTGATGGTGGGTTGTTACTGTGGGTGTTGTTGTTGATGGGTTGTTACTGTGGTTGTTGTTGATGGTGGGTTGTTACTGTGGGTGTTGATGATGATGGGTTGTTACTGTGGGTGTTGTTGTTGATGGGTTGTTACTGTGGGTGTTGTTGATGGTGGGTTGTTACTGTGGGTGTTGTTGTTGATGGGTTGTTACTGTGGTTGTTGTTGATGGTGGGTTGTTATTGTGGGTGTTGATGATGGGTTGTTATTGTGGGTGTTGTTGTTGATGGGTTGTTACTGTGGGTGTTGTTGATGGTGGTGATTGTTATTGTGGGTGTTGATGATGGGTTGTTATTGTGGGTGTTGTTGTTGATGGGTTGTTACTGTGGGTGTTGTTGATGGTGGGTTGTTACTGTGGGTGTTGTTGATGGTGGGTTGTTACTGTGGGTGTTGATGATGGGTTGTTATTGTGGGTGTTGTTGTTGATGGGTTGTTACTGTGGGTGTTGTTGATGGTGGGTTGTTACTGTGGGTGTTGTTGATGGTGGGTTGTTACTGTGGGTGTTGTTGATGGTGGGTTGTTACTGTGGGTGTTGTTGATGGTGGGTTGTTACTGTGGGTGTTGTTGATGGTGGGTTGTTACTGTGGGTGTTGTTGATGGTGGGTTGTTACTGTGGGTGTTGATGATGATGGGTTGTTATTGTGGGTGTTGTTGTTGATGGGTTGTTACTGTGGGTGTTGTTGATGGGTTGTTACCTGTCTACCAAGTGACCTTGAGATACCTCACAACCAGTCAAACGTTCCAGTGAAAAGAATTGTTCTAATTGCCATATAGGCTGTCGGAGAAGTCATTTTTTTAAATTTAAGCAACTCAGAAGGTAACAGCCACAGGCCAGGTCATGAATGTGGCTCAGTCATGCCTTGCAAAGCAATATGCTCGCAGAAGGACCACGTGTGTACGGTAATGTGGGACAGGACTGTAGGTGTAGCCAGTTATCGTACTCAAGATAGCACCCACATGCCCTGGGTACGATAATATGGCGAGGACTGTAGTTGTGGTCAGTCATCGTACTCAAGATAGCACCCACATGCCCTGGGTACGATAATATGGCGAGGACTGTAGGTGTAGCCAGTTATCGTACTCAAGATAGCACCCACATGCCCTGGGTACGATAATATGGCGAGGACTGTAGTTGTGGTCAGTCATCGTACTCAAGATAGCACCCACATGCCCTGGGTACGATAATATGGCGAGGACTGTAGGTGTAGCCAGTTATCGTACTCAAGATAGCACCCACATGCCCTGGGTACGATAATATGGCGAGGACTGTAGTTGTGGTCAGTCATCGTACTC